ATTGTAGTTTGTCCTCTAGTAAGTATGTCAGGTCTTATTATTTTTTTTTTTTTAGCAATTTTGATCAAAGGAAGGTAAATTTAATTTCTTTTAAAGTGTTAACCAGCCACATTTATTGATATACATGGGACACAGGTTGTTTAGTTGCACAAAGATCTTTGAGAACCTAGAATCCCTGAAGAGCTTTGACCAGAAAAGGAGAGATGGATCTCTTAAGAAAACTCACTCTGGGTGAAGGTGTAACCTGACCCATACTAGACTAAGTAGATTTGGAAGTTGAGAAAAAGGAGATGGTTCTAAGTCAAATTGGAATTTGGTTCTGAGCATCTTTTCCTATATTGTCTGCATTTGGGAAAAGAGATTGTTTAGTCAAAGGAAGTAAACTAATTTTAAAATTTAAGGTTAGAAAAATGACCAGCGAGTTTATTGAGAACCAATTTATACTCCACCTATGGTTTTGAGGCAACATAGTAATCTTTATTGTTGTTATTTTATTTGAGCTAGTATTGGGGTATGAAATCAGAGCTTCATGCCATTGCTTAGCATTTTTGCCCATGCCTGGCATTCTACCACTTGAGCCACACATCAACTTTCAGCTTTTTGCTCATTACTTAGAAATAGGAATCTCTTGGATTTGTCTACCTAGGCTGGCTTTCAATCTTTTTGTTTTTACTTTTTTTTTCTTTTTAAAGCAGTGTACAAAGGTTTCCATTTAACAAAAGAGTTTATGCTTACCACTTGAGCCCCATAGCACCACTTCCAGTTTCCCTAGTGGTTTATTGGAATAAGAGCCTCATGGACTTTGCTGCCTGGGCTGGCTTTGAACTGTGATCCTTAGATCTCAGCCTCCTGAGTAGCTAGGTGCCCAGCTATATATTTGAGTTGTTTTCTCTCATATGTGGAAACTAAAATGATCATATTCTTTGTCTTTCTGGTCCTGACTTAAAATTTTTTTTTTCCAGATCCTTCTGTTTCTTTGCAAATGTTGCAATACCATTCTTTCTTAACATGAGTAAAATTTCATTGTGTTATATCTACACCACATTTTCTTGATCCATTCCTTCATGTCCCCTAGAGGGACATCTGAGCTGATTCCATACTTCAGTTATTATAGCGAATAGTGCTGTAATGAACATGGCTGTGCAGGTAGCCTTAATATTTATCCCATTATAATTTTTTGGGTAAATGCCCAAGAATGCTGGATCATATTTGTTTAGCTTTTTGAGAAAACTCCATACTGCTTTCCAGAGTGGTTAAACAAGTTTACATTCCCACAAATAGTGAGCTAGGACTCCTTTTTGCCATCCATATCCACACCAGCATCTGTTAGTGGTCATTTTTGTTTTCTGTTTTTTTGTTTTTGCCAGTCATTGGGCACTGTCCTTGATCATCTTTTTCCTCAAGCCTCTAGCATACTTCCATTTGAGCCACAGTGCCACTTCTGATATTTTCTGTTTATGTGGTTGTGAGGTGTTGAACCTGGGGCTTCATGAATGCTAGTTAGGCAAGCCCTATACCAGAGCAACCTTCCTGCCAATGTTTGTATTTTTGATGATGGTCATTCTAACTGGGGTGAGATGGAATCTGTGTTGCTTTGATTTGCATTTCTTTTCCTGTGGCCAGAAATGTTCAGCATTTCTTTAGATCTGTTTGCCATTTCTACTATTTTTGAGAAGTCCATTTAGCTTGTTTGCCCATTTAGTAAATGGGTTGTTGATTCTTTGAGGGTTTATTTTTTTTTAAATAAGTTTTTTATTGTGAAAATACTGTACAGAGGGTTTACAGTTATAAGAGCTAGGTAATGAGTACATTTCTTATCAAGCATTGTTGCCTCTTTCTTTGTTTTTCCCCCTCCCATCCCTTCCCTCCCACCTCCACAACTATCCCCCTCGCCTAAATAGTGTCTTGTACATCTCATTGTTAGAGTTGGTCAACCTGTATCCCTATTTAAACATTTTGTTTTTTCCCTTTCCCTCCCCGAGGGTTTATTTTTGTATGTTTGTAAAAGTAAATTGTAATTTCATTCTCATTGAACTCGTATTTCAGTATCTACTTCTGTTAAAGGCAAATCAGTAAACCCAAGTAAAAGCTCATATGATGAAAAATAGCCAGTCACAGGTAGAAATTAGTATTAAAAATAATTTTATTATTATAAGATGTTGTACAGAGGGGCTCCTTTTCATAAGTCAAGTAATGAGTACATTTTATTTTTTGAAAAAGCACACCTTTCCTCCAGTTTCCTCCTCCCATCCATACCCACAGATTACATAGATCATTTTCCACATAGTGTATACTGAATAGCATGAATGCTTACTTTCTAAAAATGCTTTCTAAAAATCCCCAAACAAAAACAGTCTCACAACCAAAACCCATGTTTCCATTTCCTGCAGTTTGTTTCAATAAGTAGTATTTTAAGTGTTTAGAGAAATTACACCTTTTGTTGTTTTTCCTCTGAGGGTAACCTCCTATAAGTCTGACAATTTGTGTGTGAATGTCTAGAGTACTGTTAGGTTATCAGGTCCAGTTAATTTTAGATGTAGCTTCCACATATGAGAGAAAACATTCTGTTTGTCTCTCTGATCTTGGCTTAGCATTTGTTCAAGGTCCATCCATTTCTCTGCAAATGACATAATCTTTTTAATGGATGGGTACAATCTTTTTGTGTGTATATACTACATTTTATTAATCCACTCACTTGTAGGGCATCTGGGCTGTTTCTACAACTTGGCTGTTGTGAGTAGTATAGCAGTGAACGTGGATATGTAAGGTCTTTACCATATCCTGACTTGTAATGTTCTAGGTAGATCCCCAAGAATGGTATGACTGGGTCCGTAGTAAAGTTACATGTGTAATTTTTTGAAGAACCCCCATACCTCCTTCCAGAATGGTTGTACTAGTTTACATTCCCAATAACGGTGTAGTTCCCCACAGCTCTGCTAGTATTTGTTGTGTGAGTCCTTGATGGTGGCCAGTTGTTTTGATTTGCATTTCCTTAATGGTCAGGGATGTTCAGTAGTTCCTCATGTGTCTTATTTGCCTTTCTTTTGAGAAATCTTTTAAAGCGTCTTTGCTCATTCATTCATTGGTTTACTAGTTTTAAAGTTCCTTGTGTATTTTGTCTATTAGACCTTTGTCAGATGTTTTGCTAGTGATGATTTTCTCCTAGTCTATTGGCTGTCATTCTGGTCATTAGGCCATTGTGTGATATATAGGTGGCAAAAATCTTTTCCCATTCTGAAGGTTTCGGTTGTCTTTTTAGCTTAACTGTCCTTGGTTGTGCAAAATTTTTTTAGTTTAATCTAATCATATTTATGCTGTGTTTCTCTGTCTTAGAAAGTTTTTGCCTTGTACCAAGGAGTCCTAATGTTTCTTTACACCTTCTTGTAGTGATTTCATGGTTTCAGGTCTTACGTTGAGATCTTCGATGCATTTTGACTTGATACTGGTGCAGGGTGATTAATTCAGATTCAGTTTTAGTGTTCTGCATGTGGTTATCCAATTTTCCCAGCCTGGCTTTGAACCCTCATATCTCAGCCTCCTGAATAGCTAAGATTAAAGGCAGGAGTCAGTAGTGCCCTGCTTAGCCCAGTTAAGTTTTGGGAGTGAGGAAGGAATCAATGAGGTTTGAACTTAGGGTCTGAGCTTTCTCATTCAAGGCTAGTGCTTCACTACTTGAGCCACAGCTCCACATTTGCCCCTAACCCCTTTTTGTGGTTAAGTGGAGAGAAGTCCCATGGGCTTTTCTGCTCAGGCTGGCTTTGAACCATGATCCTCAGTCAGATCTCAGCCTTCTGAGAAGTTAGGATTACAGATGTGAGCTGTCCAGCTGACCCAGTATTTTTCTAAGGGAAGAGGTAAAAGAAGTAGGAAAATTATATTAAGGTAATGGTAAGGATTGTACCTTTCAAAAAAGTCATATTTTTCTAAAGTTGAGCTATAATTTAATATTTGTAACATAAAATTTGAGTTCTTACTCTGTTATTGTGCTAAATATCTTATTTTTCAGTTTTTTGGTGTTTTTTTTTTTTTGTTATTGTTGTTGGTCATTGGGCTTGAACTCTAGGCCTGAATGCTGTCCTTCAGCTCAAGGCTCAAGGCTAGTGCTCTACCACTTGAGCCAGTACGCCACTTCCAGTTTTCTGAGTGGGTTATTGGAGATAAGAGTCTCACGGACTTTCCTGCCTGGACTGGCTTTCAACTGTGATCCTCAGATCTCAGCTTCCTGAGTAGCTAGGATTACAGGTGTGAGCCACTGGCACCCGGCTTTCATTTTTCAGTTTTATAAGATAAGAGACAATTCATCACATTAAAACTGTTGTCAAGAATATACAAGTAATAGAGTTGGGTTGTGAGTTCTGGCAGTCAGGTTCTAGATATTTGGCTCTTAATCACAGTTGTAAATATTGTCTCTTTTAGCTAATACTACCTGTGATCAAGGATATACAGGTTTTTATGTTGTTAATTTGCCAATTTCCTTATAGATATTTCACAGTGGTTCATAAATTGAAAGGCCATACATCTCACAAGCTGATGGAAATCAAACTTTCACTAGGAGGTATATCCCAGGTAGAAGAGTGCTTGCTAAGCATGCCAAAGGCCCTGAGTTTGAAAAACAAACAACAAAAAAGAAACACCAGTGGCTTATGCCTGCAATGATAATTACTCAGGAGGCTGAGATCTGAGGATCAGAATTCAACGCTATCTCGGGCAGAAAAGTCCCTGAGAGACTGTATCTTTAACCAGCAAAAAGCCAGAAGTAGAAGTGAGGTTCAACTGGTAGTGTGCCAGCCTTGAGTGAAAAAGCTGAAGAGAGTGGGAGACCCAGAGTTAAATTAAGCCCATTATGAGCACAAAGAAAAAGTAAACTCCAGTCTAATTCTAAGCCCCTGTATTCTTTTAGTATTATACATTGTCTTTATATCCTTATTACAGATTTTTAGAGTTGTATAGAATTTGCTAGTATTGATAACAGTTTTTAATAACTTTTTTCTTTTATGTAGGGATTTATCAAAGATGTTCATGAAGACTCCCTCACAGTTGTTTTTGAAAATAAGTAAGTTGTTACTTGACATCTTAATTTTCAAGTTTGGTAATGCCAAGATGTTTGTTTTTGAATATTCCTATTGTCAGTGGGGAACTGATTTTTTTTGAGTCCAAGTGCTTTGTGTAGTTGATTCATCTTATGAGTTCAAGTCAGTCAGTTTTGATGACCTTTGCTGTTTGCCACAATTTGTATTTTTCTTGTCCCTTAGCCAAAATATATGATTCAGTAAATGTTTTTGCAGAAATAGATGGCATATAATGTGCCTCTTTCTCTCCCACCCTCCTCCAAAATCTCCTTTCCCTCCTTGTCTTTCCCTTGTTCCATATCAACAGTGCCAGGCTCAAGACTTAATGCTGGCTAGGCAGGCACTTTATTGCTTGAGCCATCCCTCTAGCACATTGAGCCCAATTTTTGTTTGTTTGTTTTTTTGGGTCCAGTCGTGGGGCCTGAACTCTGGGCCTGGGCACTGTCCCTGAGCTCTTCAGCTCAAGGCTAGCGCTCTACCACTTGAGCCACAGCGCCACTTCCGGCTTTTTTCTTTTTGCTTATGTGGTGCTGAGAAATAGAACCCAGGGCCTCAGGCATGCAAGGCAAGCACTCTACCACTGAGCCACTTTCCCAGCCCCTGAGCCCAATTTTTAAGAGTGCTAAATGTTAAGATGCTATTGTAGAAGGCTTCTTAGATGGCTTTTTGTAGTGAAACTAAAGTATTCGGTCATTTTTATTTGCTTGATATTTGTAAGAATATTTTATAGATAGTATTAGGAGTAGATAGTCTACTTGGTTAGGAAGCATTGTTATTTTCAGTTGGAGGTCTAACACTAAGAACTGTTCAACTTTAACTTCTGAGCTGCCTGAAAAGAACTTCCTCACAGCTATTTCATGTAGAAGTTAGTGTCTAGATGATTTGTCTTTGAGTACCTGCTATATAAATAGAAATGTTGAAAAGAAAGCAACTAAAATCTTTTTCCTGTCGGCTTCTGCTCAACCTGCTATTGGTAGATATTAACATTTATATATGTCCCAAACTTACAACTTTCTAAGTTCATCTTACACAATAAAAACTGTCAAGCAACAACCAGATTAGTACTTTACTATAGTTACAGTTGCTACACTAATCTGAAAGTAAACTTTTCTAGGTTCTGATAACATATACATGTACACATACATACATTCATAATTTGATGCTCATGGTTGAAGTCTGGATTTTGCAAGTATGTTAAGCACTAAGCTTCTTTTGAGCTCATGGGTAATTAGTTGATACATATTCAGTTTCCAGCCCAAACTGCTAATTTTTTTTTACTACTGTAAATGCATATGTATGCTAGAATTACAGTTTTTATTGTTTAGAATATAAGCTGTGTTGCTTTTGTGACAAGTCGTATAATTGTACTTGAAATATGTTGATCATACCATTTTTATTTGGCAGCTGAAAATGTTACATTATTTTGTTATGGTGTACATAAGTCATCACTGAATTTATCCTGTTTCCTTTGCAGTATAATGTATATATCATGACTCTAAGCAGAAATAATATAATAATAATCATACCTTCTGTATTAGAGATTGTTAAATAAATTCATTCTTTTTTTTAATCCTTCAGTTGGCAGCCAGAACGCCAGGTTCCATTTAATGAAGTTAGATTACCACCACCACCTGATATAAAAAAAGAAATTAGTGAAGGAGATGAAGTAGAGGTATGTGTTTGTGTTCATGGTTTATTTTTCATGTTCCTATTTTTTGGTTTTAAATGTTGTTGTTGGAAAATTTGTTTAGATGATAGAAAATGGAATTCCTTTTCTCTATTCTTTCTATTGGCAATAGATGTGTAATACAGCAGTGTCTGAGATTGGAAGTCAGAACTGGATTCATGTTTCAGAAGTATATTTTAGCCTTGTGAACTGTAATGAAGTTTATCAGTAAGATGAAAATAATTTTAACATTAAGGATAATAGTGAATTTGAGTTGATTTCTAAAGACTAGCCCAAAACTTTGTGATATTAGTCCTATTCTTTTTTGCTAATTAGTGATTTTTGCTTCAATATCTTAAAATTTTGGTAATTATCAGTACAGATTATATATAAAAATGTGGGCTGGGCACCTATGGTTAACACCTATCATCCTGGTCTCAGGAGTCCGAGAAATCTGAGGGACTGATTTTAAGCCTTCATGTACAGAAAAGTCCTTAAGATTCCATCTCCAAAATAATCAGCAAAAAGTGAGGCTAGGCTAGTACCCTGTCTTGAGCCATACTTTCAATCCAGTACTGAATATTTCTCACAGGAAGTTGCTTGGTAGTAACTAAGAGGTTTTTAAGTCTCACTTGTGCCTATTTTCTATGGGATTGGATAGGGAAACTGGAGGAATTGGAGAATTTATAACTGATGAAATGATTTTCTCTCCAATTCTTAACATTTTAAGCTTGTGTGTATGCATAGGCAAATGTATATATATGTTTGTGTGTGTGTAGGCAATGGAAAATATCCACCCCCATTGATCTTCAGTGGTCATTAACAGTCACACTATGTAGGTCAGGCTGGTCTTGAACTTAAGATCTTTCTGACTGCCTCCTGGGTGCTGGGATTACACATCTCTACCACCATACCATGTCTAATACAATTCTTTTTTTTTTTTTTTTTCATGATAAATTTTCTTTTTTTCTATTGGTCCTGGGGCTTGAACTCAGCATCTGGTCACTGTCCTTAACTTTTTTTGCTCAAGACTAATCCTCTGCCATTTGAGCCATAGTACCACTTTTGGGTTTTTTGCTGGTTAATTGGAGGTAAGAGTCTGACAGATTATTTTGCGTGAGCTGACTTAGACCACAATCCTCAGATCTCAGTCTCCTGAGTAGCTAGGATTATAGGTATGAGCCTCTAGCGCATCAGGAAGCAAAAATTAGCCTTTGAGGTGGGGTGCTGAGAATATGTTTTCCTCTGTCTTTGATCCAGGAAGGAACAAGCCTTATCTCTGGCCTGTTTACCCAACTGTGAACAAAATATTCATGTTAGAAATTTCATTATTCAGAAATAAATAATCCTAGGTTATTGTATTTCACTTTGCTTTATGATTTAGCCCTAAAAATGTTAAGCTGTCTTTGGTTTTGTGAATTATTATCATGAATTAAAAATATATTTTACTTTTGAAGATTGAAGAAAAAAGTTTTAAGTTTTGTACCAGCAGTGCATTCCTTTGGTGGGCAGGGCAGCAACATTTTTTAGTAGTATATTGGTATGTATCATAATTAAAAGGCTATAATTAGTAGACTTTTTGCTATTGCCAAAAATAACATCAACTAAGGTTCTTTTGTAAATCTTCTGGAAGTATAGATCTTAAAGAGTTCCATTGTTGAATCAAATTCATAGTCAAGTTTTTTTTTTTTTTTTTTTTTTAAGTTTCTGTACTTGGGCTTGAACTCAGGGTCTGAACACTGCCCTGAGCATTTGTGCTCTAGGCTAGCACTCTACCACTTGATCCATAACTTCTTTCAGCTTTTTTGGTAGATAATTGGAGATGAGAGTCTGATGAACTTTCTTATCTAGGCTAGCTCTGAACTACTATTCTTGGATCTAAGCCTCCTGAATAGCTAGGATTACAAGTGTGAGCCGCTGGTGCTGAGCTTGATATTTAAGATTTTGATACTATCAAAAAGAACCATCTCAGCCTGGTATCAGTTTTGCTTGTTGGAAACGCTTTGTCTGCTTAACTTTCATTTCCTTGGTCAGTAGTGACATCAAACACCTTGTAAATTGTGTTTTTGGAGAGAGAGTAGAGAGAGTGTGTGTCTTTGTATGTCTTTGTGTCTTGAACTTCAGGCTTGGACATTGTCCTTGAGCTGCTTTTGCTCAAAGCTAGTGCTCTACCTCTTGAGCTACAGTTGCACTTTCAACCTTTGTGGTGATTCATTGATGATAAGAGTCTCATGGACTTTTCATGCCTAGTTTGGCTTTGAAATGATCCTGAGATCTCAGCCTTCTCTGAGTAGTTAGGATTACAGGTGTAGGTAACCAGCACACAATTCTGTTTTGATTTTTGTTCTTACTGTGTTTAGATTAAAAACTTCTGGTATTTTAACGTGCTTAGGCCAACAAATCTACTTGTTACTAGAGCTAATGGTGCTACAGGGAAAAAAAAGGTATCCAAAAGGGAGGAGGGCTCTACCAGGTCTTCGTAGGTGCTATGTTTTTGTTTTGTCCTGTAGTTTTCCTTTTGGAGACAGGGTTTCAGTATTATAGCCCAGGCTGGCCTTGAACTGTGTCTATTTGCCTCTGCCTTCCACGGGAATGGATTATATAAATCCAGTGTGTGCCTGTAATTAACTTTTTATTCTCTGTTTATGAGCAAGGTTTATGAATCAAGGTCCTTTGGTAAATATGAAAATGATTTAGATGGTTTCAAGACTCGAGATACCTACCACTGAAAGAGGTGTTACTAGATATTAGTTAAGGGTTAATTTATTTTGCGTTTTTGTTTTTTGGCACTGGGATTTGAAGTGTGTTCCTTATACTTCCTTACTAGGTGCTCTACCACTTCAGCCATGTGGCCAGCTCCTATTATTTAAATGTAGCAAGTCAACTTTCATTCAGTATTTTTCTTGTTTTGATGATGTAAAAACTTAAAAAAAGGAACTGTTTTATAAATTTAACTGTCCATCAGTTATTATTTATGATTCTAAAATATATCTTATTAATATTAATCTTATTTAAAATGTATCTCTGAAAAGGTTTATTACTTTTGGTGTATCATACACTTACCATTACTTAAAGTATATGTCTAAAATATTGTCATTACATGTGGATCATCTTACACTGAGATCAGACTGTACTACTCGAAAAAATTATATATCTCTGGGTTTAATACTATAACCATTAAAATTTTTTTCATTATAAAGGTTATGTATAGAGGGGTCACAGTTATATAAGTCAGGTAGAGTACATTTCTTTTTGGCAATGTCACCCCTTCCCTCTAGCAATTTTTGTTTTAGAAATTCAGCAGTTTGATATTCCATCAATTTGACATGACTAACCCATTGAAAATTTTTTGTTTACCATCTTTTTCTATTCATCTTTGCATACTGCATTTGGCATTTTTCCATGTAGATCAGGAGTAGGGAATCTTTTTTTTTTCCTGAGAGCCATTTGAATATTTGTAAAATCACTTACAGGCCACATATCATATATATCTGACATGTGTCTGTTTTGTCTTATGTACAAAACGATTTCATAGGCCTTTATATCCATTGAGCTGGACATTCCCCATCCCTGATGTAGCAAGTAAATTTTGGTGCGCAAATACATTAAAAAATGAAAGAATACTGTCATCCTTGTAAAAAAAATAGGATATTACTGGGTCTTTGTCAGAGAATTTTAGGAGTTTCTTATTGAGTGATTAACTGAATAAGGCTATCATCTTAACTTTTCTTCTTAGGAATACATTGAGAGCATTAATCCAGAATGTCACCTGAGGATTTTGTAGTCTTAAGATACCAGTAGAATCTAGACAGCTGCTGTCTTTTTGGCTTCTCTAATTCTCCTAATAATTGTAAAATACTCTCTGTATCTTTTTTTATTATAGGAGAATAGTTAAGTATTCCAGATATTTTACTATTCAAAAATAACCCAAAGTAGCCAACTCAAGTTATGATTTAAGGAAACTGCAGGATGTTGCAGGCTTTTTTTGTGTGATATGCTTATACTTGACGCCATCATTCTTCTGTTTCCTTAAGTCTTTAAAAATGTTTAGCTGAAGGTGTGGCTTAGGAGTAGAGTACCTGCTTAGCAAGCTGTCCCCTGAATTTAAACCCTACACTTTAAAAAAAAAAACACAAAAAATGAACCAATGAGATGTAGCTTGGTAGAGCTTAGCACCCCTGAGCAGCCAAAACAGCTAACTAAATAAATAGATGTAGACAAAATAAGATAATTCAATTCTACCCTAGGATTGTTTTAAAGGGTTCAGTGTATGCATATTGCAGTGTGACAGAATAAATTTTATTCCAATAGAAAATAATTTTCATGTTGAGACCTCTAGGAAAGAATAAACATGAAATACTGAAGAGGAACATTTGCTTAGAAATTCAGATTCTAAAATTGATTGCACTGGATCCTGACTGTTACACTTGTATCTGTGTTTTTTTTTCTCATAGCCCTTTTCTAATTTGATTGCTAGATTTTGGCTCACTCATTTATAATTAAGTATATCTACCCACTTCCAAAATGTTTGTGAAGTGATCTTAGAGCTTCTCAAAACTTTGTTTACAAATGTTCCTTACATAACTCTTACCAATCAGTAGTTGATTTCTCTAGACACCCTGTGCAGTCTTACTTCCTTTATTCAAGATTGTTTTTTTGTGAGAATACTTCGTTGTTTTCCTCCTGCTACTTGCTTTCATGTTTTGAAAATATATTAAGATACAGTATTGTAGTAATTTCAGTTGGTTTCTTTAGCAGAAGTGTTGTTATTTCCTGAAAGTGATTTCAACGTTGAGTTGTCTTCTGAAAATAATTCTTTTGAATTATTGAACAGAGCTGAAGGACATGTTATATAAGACTGCCTTTTAACAAATGTTTCTTTAACAAGTGTTTCTTTAGAAATGTTTTAGTAAACCTTCATCAATTTGGAATTACATTTCCAAGAAGCCAAATTACCCAAAAAAGTGTTCATTCTTATTTTTAAGTAATAGAAGTTCAGTACTGTTAATTTATTAAAGTGCATTTAGTTTGTCAGTTTCAATAATAGGCCCCTCCCTTTCTCCCATCTTTCTCCCCCTTCTTCTCTCCACACCCCCCTACCCCACTTTCTCACCATTCTCTTTTTCCCCTTTTCTCCTCTTTCTGCTCTCCTCATTTATGGTGCTGAGTATTGAACTCAGGGCCTCTGACTTACTGTGTTAAGTCCTCTACCATTTGAACTTCAATTTTAGGCACATTTTTGATTGTTGAATTTGATAAGACATTTATAATAAGTCATTTGTTAGGTTAAAATCATTTGACATGAATTGATAATTTTTTCCTGCTCAGGTATACTCAAGAGCAAATGACCAAGAACCATGTGGATGGTGGTTAGCTAAAGTTCGAATGATGAAAGGAGAAGTAAGTGATTTTTGAGAATTACTGTATCAAGAAAATAACTCAAATCTTGATTTCTGTAAATGTTAACTCATTTCTAAAAGCCTACTTCAAACATTAAAGAAATTATTATGGGCTATTTTGTTTAATAAAATGAATACCAGGAAGTAGAAACGAAAAGTGAATACCGGGAAGCAGAAACATGTTGCAGGGAGACACTGGCCAGGGCAGGGGGGGATGACAGATGATGACAAATGGAGGGAGGGTGAGCAAATGGAGTCTTGTATTTCGTGTACATCATGTAAAATTGAACCATGTAACTTGAGGGTAGGGATGGAGAAGAACAATGAAAGGGGTGACCTTGATCAAATTGATCAAGGTGATGTATTATAACCTGACTTTAAAGGCTCTTTGTACAACTACTTAATAAAAAAAATTATTATGCACTATTACTTTTTTCTTCTTGTGTTACATTGGCAAACACCAAAGCTGTTTTCCCCTGAGGTATATACCTCAAGTATGTGAAATTCACCAATGTTTATGCTTGTAATAATAGTCTAGTTGTGTCAAATTAGTTTGCTATAATTAACCTGTGCTTAGTATTTGTGTCATAGGACATGGGTTCTGCTGATTAAACTGAGCAGGGTAATGACTTCATCTCAAGTTCTTTAGTTTTGTTGGGATTTTAAAAGTACTTTCATGTCTTTCAGTTTTATGTCATTGAATATGCTGCTTGTGATGCCACTTACAATGAAATAGTCACATTTGAACGACTTCGGCCTGTCAACCAAAATAAAACTGTCAAAAAAAATACCTTCTTTAAATGCACAGTGGATGTTCCTGAAGATTTGAGAGAAGCGTGAGTAATTTTACTCTTGGATTATGAATTTAATGTGTTACAAAACAATTTTTTTCCCAAACCAGTCACAAAGTCATCTGATAGGAAAAATTTTAAATAAATAACGATGACAAGATGTACTAAATTTGCATTATAAACATTCCCTAAGTTTATTGTTGTTGAATTTTTACATTGAATTAATTTCTCTCTAGGTGTGCTAATGAAAATGCACATAAAGATTTTAAGAAAGCAGTAGGAGCATGCAGAATTTTTTACCACCCAGAAACCACGCAGTTAATGATACTGGTAAGATAACACTATATTTTAAGGTAGCCTTTAATAGCTGTTGCATAGAGTTCATAACTACATACTTTAAAAGGTAAGAACTTAATAGTGAATTTACTAGTGAGTTATTAGTGAAAATATTTTGTAGGTTTAACTTTTTAGTTGTTTACATTTTTTTCTTTTCTTTTTTTTTATTTTTTGGTCCGGTTGTGGGGCCTGAACTCTGGGCCTGGGCGCTGTCCCTCAGCTCTTTAGCTCAAGACTAGCGCTCTACCACTTGAGCCATAGCGCCACTTCCAGCTTTTTTCTTTTTGCTTATGTGGTGCTGAGGAATTGAACCCAGGGCCTCATGCATGCAAGGCAAGCGCTCTACCACTGAGCTACCTTCCCAGCCCCAGCTGTTTACATTTTTTAGCATCGTTTAGTTGTATAAGAGAGTTAAATTTATATGCATGTATAGGATATACTTTGATTAGGTTCACCCTTCTCTATCACTCTTCCAAATATTTTTTGAAATTTAACTCTTTAAATACATAGACATTTCTGTTAACCAGACTAATTTTTTATCTTTTCTGGAGTAATGAGAAAGTTATTAGTATGACATTAACATTACATTAACATTTAGTGTAGGGATCCTAGCTTCTCCTACCTTCCCACTGTACATCCTCTGAATAGCAGATATAATGTAGGAGTTCAGCAAGGAAAGTAAGATTACTTTAGAATGAATGAGTGTTAGCTAAAGAGAAAGCCATATATAGTATATGATAGTCATTGAGCATTCCTGTAGAAGGAGCATGTTTGTGTGTAAATCTTGAAAAATGATGATTGAACTTTTGAGTGATTCACATCTTTGTGTATAGTCTGCTAGTGAAGCAACTGTGAAGAGAGTTAATATCTTGAGCGACATGCATTTGCGAAGTATTCGTACAAAGTTGATGCTTATGTCCAGAAATGAAGAGGCCACTAAGCATTTAGAAGTAAGTGGTTTTATTTATGAAAACTTTATTGTTTGTCCCATTTACTATCAAAAGTATATTTTTGTTTGGTGGGTTAACTTGACTGTTAAGACCAACTAGGTAGGACATGTTTAATGCTTATTATCTGAAGTTCTTAGAAGGAGAACTGGTTATTCTGTGTACCTATTTTTATTTCTATTTTTATATTTCTACTTAAATTTTTGCTTTTAGTTATTTTTCAGATTTTATTTTTGCCCAGGCCACCTTGGAATCCAGTCTTTCTATTATTTATGCATCCCATATAGCTGAATTACACTGGTACATCATCATACCCCAACTTAATTGTTGATTTGAGTCCTGATACCTTTTGTCTGTGCTGGACTTGAACCACAGTCCTCCATCTCTTTGTATCCTGAGTAGTTGGTACACTGTGCCTGGCATCTATTTTACTTTATCAAACATGGCTTTTCTTTTGTTAAATGCCTCTTGAATTTCCATGTTAGGGATTAGATGACAGAGCCAAAGAATTTAGAACTAACAATAGTGAGATTATTTTGCTACATTGTTGCTTTTTTTTTTTTTTAATTAACCCACTATATTTCCTACCACAAAATCAGTTCACTGTAGCAACTCTTCTATATTGCTGTTTGTTCAAAGTTGATGAGGTCTGGGAGTGGAAAATAAATCACATGCTGTATTTTTTAAATATGCCTTGCCATTTCTTCTCCTGTCTATTGTATATGTGTGTCAGAATTGGAATTTGAACTCAGGGCTTGGGCATTGTTGTCAAATAGCTTTTTATGCTCAAGACTGATGCTTTCCCTCTTCAGTCATGGCTCCACTTCTGGCCTTTTGATAGTTAATTGGAAATAAATAGTCTCAAGGACTTTCCTGCCCTGACCAGTTCTTCTGTCTTAAGATTCTATATTTTCCTTTCCACTACCACTCTATTAATGTACTTGTTCTTCTCTTTCCTCACCATCCGAGCTGAATATAATATTCACATACACACTACTTTTATCTGGAAAAATTGAGTTCTCTTTATCCTTAGGAAATATTAAGGATATATGAATGAATTCTAAAACAAGAATGATTGTATTAGAATACTGGGTGTGTAATTCCCGTAATGCTGTTTTAGAATTATTGTGTGACCAGGAATTAAATGCACTGAATTAATTAACCAGTATTTTATTTTCCTTTTCATTTTATACCAGAAAGATTTTATTTATCCCGTAGGTGAATGAATTTTGGACTTTATTAATTTTTCTATTATTTATTTTTTTTGAGCTGGTCCTGGGGCTTGAACTCAGAGGCTGCACATTGTCCCTGAGCTTCTTTTGCTCAATGCTAGCACTCTTACCACTTGAACCCAGCGCCACTTCTGGCTTTTTTTTCTGTTTATGTGGTACTGAGGAATTGAACCCATGGCTTCCTGCATGGTAGCTAAGCACTCTACCACTAAGCCACATTCCCAACCCTGAATTTTGGACTTTTTCACTTAGGTTTTGTTTTTTCTCTCAGAAGGCTGAGATCTGAGGATGGTATGTGAAGCCAGCCCAGGCAGGAAAGTGTGAGATCCTGTCTCTTAATTACCAAAAAGCTGAAAGTGGAGCTGTGGCGCAAAGTGGTACCTACTAGCTTTGAACACAAAGAGTTTAGGGACAGGCCTTGAATTCAAGCCCCAGGAACTTAAAAATTTTTAAATGTGCATTTCATTGATGTTAATGGATTTTACATTCTCTTGATACTTCTCAGGTACCCTAGTCCAGACTGGTCTAGAACTCAAAATCAAAATCCTGCTACTCCACGGCTGGATTTTGCTCTACTTGACCGTCCTTTTATCCCATTTTTATCCATTTTGTGGACTAGTCTAAGATCCCATTGAAGCAGAAGACAAAAATAAGACTTGTAGATGATAACAGTATCATAGTCCTATTTTCATTTAATAAATATTCTTTGTAACTTCAATTATTCAGAATTATAGAGATGAGCTGGTTTTCGTAAAATATACTTGTAGATAATACCATAATGGCAGGCTCGTGCTGTCACATGCAGCATTGTGGGTTTTTTTTTGTGGTGTGGGTTTTTTTTTTTTGTTGGTCATGAGTCCTAAACTCTAGGCCTGGCCATTACCCCTCAGCTCTTCAACTCAAGGCTAGCCCTCTACTACTTGAGCCACAGCGCCACTTTTGGCTTTTTCTGCTTATGTGGTGCTGAGGAATTGAACCCAGGGCCTCATGCATGCAAGGCAAGCACTCAACCACTGAGCCAACTTCCCAGCCCCAGCATTGTTTTTATTGTATTCTTGGTCAACTTGTACTTTTCACATTGTTAATATGCTCCTGTTCAAAAATTTCCAATTTTCTCTTCCCTCCAGACCCTGGCAACCACTTTTATTTTCTCTAAATATAATTACTCTAGGTATGTAATTGGAGTCTTAAAATATTACATTTTATAAATGACTTATTTCAGTTAGGCTAGTAATGCTCTCAGTCAGTGATCATTTGTGTTACAGTATGTCTAAGAATTTTCTCTCCTTTTTCAATGATGATATTTCATATATGTATATACCACAGTATTCATTGATTGGTAGATAAGATGTTTTCACCCTCTTGATGTGAATCATAAATGGAGATGTAAGTCCTAATTTCCCTCTTTTATTAGTGCACAAAACAACTTGCAGCAGCTTTTCATGAGGAATTTGTTGTGAGAGAAGATTTAATGGGCCTGGCAATAGGAACACATGGTAGTAATATACAGCAAGCGAGGAAGGTTCCTGGAGTTACCGCCATTGAGCTAGATGAAGATACTGGAACATTTAGAATCTATGGAGAGGTAAGTTGGCTTTTCTTGCTTCTGCTAACTTTATAGAATGAACAATCTGCTGAATTACAGTATTTTATGTGGAATTTCATTTTATCTTAACTATTATTGAAGGTAGAATTCATTCACCTAAAATCCATCAACTTGGCAGGTTGTAAACCTAACTGCTCAGGAAGCTGAGGCCTAAGTATTGAGGTTTTTAGCCATCCCACACAGACTCTTAAGTGGCTTAGGTGGTAGAGTGCCAGCCTTGAGTGAAAAATAGTGCAAGGACCTAGTCTAAGAAAGATAAAATGTTTATATGTGTGCTGGTCCTAGGGCTTGATCTCTAGGCCTGGACACTGTCCTTGAGCTTTTTTGTCCAAGCCTATGCTCTACCACTCAAGCCACAGCTCCACTTCCAGCTTTTCTTGTGCTTAACTGGAGATAAGGGTCTAATGGATTTTCCTGCTCAGACTGGCTTTGAACCATCATCATCAGATCTCAGCCTCCTGAGTGGCTACATTACATATGTGAGGTACCGGCACCTGGCTGGAAAAGTAAATTTAATACCCTAGTTTTTATGTTTTCTATTTCTCTATAAAGAGATCCTATGAGATGTAGCTATTCCATGCTCATTGCGTATCCTGTTTTGTGAAGTTCATGTTCAATGTTCCTGGGTTCAATGTTTGATTTTCTATGTCTGTATACTCTTAGTAAATTTTTCATGATTAAAAAAATATAGTGCAAGGTCTTGAGTTCAAACCCCAGCCTTAGGTACCAAAAAAAGAAAAAGAAATCAGGTTGTGGGGCCTGGCATAACGGCTCATGGTAGTGATTTTGGATAGTAAGAATGTGGCTTCAGAGTTCAATCAGTGCATTTAAGAAAAGAAATCTCAGCCTAGTAATTATTAAGTAGTAGTTATAGTCATCTTCTGTTGGGAGAAAGAAGGATTTTCTGAGTAATATTTAGAATTTTCAGAAGGTTCTTAATGACTTCCATAGCTTTTTTTCCCAATTTTATGCCTACTACAAATAATTCATCCATTTAATTTTGATTGCTATTTTGTCAACACTAGTAGCAATAGTATGTAATAAAACTTTTTTGTGACTTGAATTTGGATAATATTTTGTCACTATGCTGCATTTGCAGGGTAGGAAATGAAGTTATATAAAAAATATAAGCACTCAGGAGGCCAGGAGGATGGAAAGTTCAGGGCCAGTCTGGATGTTATAGTCGGCCTTCAGCTTGGGTAGCTTAGCTAAGACAGTGTCTCAAAATAAGGAGTAAAACAAGAGCCCAGTGGTAGAGGCGGAATACTTGGCTAAAATAGGTTACTTCCTGGGTTTACTTCCTGTTACTAGAGGGGAAAAGTGTTTATTCCAGATGTTTGATTAAGACCATTCCTCAACTATGATTTTTTTTTTCTCCAAATCTTGACCTTTTAAAAAATTATTTTTGGTGCTTGAATGCAAGGCCTGGGTGCTTTCCTAAGTATTTTTTTTTTTTTTTTTTAATTTGGTCCGGTCGTGGGGCCTGAACTCTGGGCCTGGGTGCTGTCCCTCAGCTCTTCAGCTCAAGGCTAGCACTCTACCACTTGAGTCACAGCGCCACTTCCGGCTTTTTTCTTTTTGCTTATGTGGTGCTGAGGAATCGAACCCAGGGCTTCTTGCATGCAAGGCAAGCGCTCTACCACTGAGCCACCTTCTCAGCCCTTCCTAAGTATTTTTTTCCGCCGTCTTTCAAGTCTAGCACTCCACCACTTGAACCACAGCTCCACTTCCATCTTTTGGTGGTTAATTGGAAATAAGAGTCTCACTGACTTTCCTGCCTGAGCTAGCTTGAACCAGTATCTCCAGATCTCAGCCTCCTGAGTAGCTAGGATTACAGGCATGAGCCCCCAGTACCCAGCCCTAATGCATACAATAATTCTGACCACAGAGATTTGTTTATATTTCTGAGAGCTTTCAAAAGTGGGCTATGCAACATAATCATTCTGAGGACAGACATTGTAGCCTGACTCTGCATTTTGATAAGTTTCTTATCTTTTCCAATAATAATGACGATACTTTCCATACAGTTTATAAACTGTTTAAGTGTTTTATTACATATGGTATACATTGAAGTGAGCACAGTGAATTCTTGAGCTATGTTTCTTAAAAGAACCATCAAAAGAGAATTTTTTGAAATTTAAATACCTTTTCCTACTTTTCATATGTTTAAATAGTTCCAGTAGGAACTGAATAAATTTTATGCTCTTATCAGTAAAGTTCTTCTAAAAAATCTACCTCTGCAAAAGCAACTTATAAAATCATTTCTGGGGCTGGGAAGGTAGCTCAGTGGTAGAGTGCTTGCCTTGCATGCATGAGGCCCTGGGTTCGATTCCTCAGCACCACATAAGCAAAAAGAAAAAAAGCCGGAAGTGGCGCTGTGGCTCAAGTGGTAGAGCGCTAGCCTTGAGCTGAAGAGCTGAGGGAGAGTGCCCAAGCCCAGAGTTCAGGCCCAATGACCAGACCTCCCCCCCCCCCCCCCAAGTCATTTCTGACTTTGAGAATAAGTGCAGTTTTTCAGAAAATTTGAATAAATATGTTTTTTGCACTTATATGGCAAATACATTCTGAGAATATGGACCAGTATGTTTTGGAAGGGGTTAATGTTTGACTCCTCACTAGTATGTAATAGATGTAATTTAAACTATTATTATTAAAAGATTGTAGACACACTAAAATTTTTTGAGTGCAACTTTTTTCTTTTTTGGTCCATCATGGGGCCTGAACTCTGGGCCTGGGTGCTGTCCCTCAGCTCTTCAGCTCAAGGCTGGCATTCTACCACGTGAACCACAACACCACTTCCTGCTTTTTAATAGTTCATAACTTAATCTGAAATAGCACTTCTTAGTGCCTGAGCAGAACTTTGCTCTTCTCATTTTGTTTTGGACTATGAGTTTGCTTCAAGATGGTAACAGTAATTCCTATTTGTTTTCCCTTCATTTAGAGTGCTGATGCTGTAAAAAAGGCTAGAGGTTTCTTGGAATTTGTGGAAGATTTTATTCAGGTTCCTAGGAATCTTGTTGGTAGGTACTTCTAAAATATTAAATAAATGTTTATACAGATTAATTTGAAATTAGTTTCATAGTTTGCTGTCTTGTTCTAATTATAGGAATATTTAGATACCAAATATTATATTTTTGATGATAACATTTTATGTGACTTGTACCTATGTGAAGATGCTTTTTTCTCTAATAAGACTTATAATTTGTAGAAAGTCCGTCATATTAGTTTTTCTTAAATCTTCTCATCCATGGAGTTCTTCCCTATTCCCTTCCTTATGTGTCTTTTTACCAGATATTCATCAGAATTGTGATGGTACTTTTTGAAAAGGTGTTTATGATAATGTTTTTCTTTTGTTTAATGCAGATGAGAAAGTAACTGGGCTAACAGTAGGGAGGGTAATCGATTTTTGCATAATAGACCCTGAAAAATTAGTTGTTGGCAATGTCATAGAATAAGCGAAGAAGTCACGGGCAGGAGATGATGCTTTGTGAGGAAAGGTTTCAGTATTGTTTATCTCTACTAAAGAAAATGATGGCATGCCTGAGTTATATAAATTGGCAAAAGCTTTGAGCTTGAAGCAATAATTAAAAAAGCATTCAAGCCTGGGATGACTAAATGGTTCTGTTACTAATGTGTCTTATGTCTATGCTTTGCTTTTTTGTGTATGTGGTAGGGTGATATAGTTAGGGTGCTCAGAGCTACGTCCCTAACACCTGTTCTGTGTCTTTAGAGCTATGAGGCAAATGTAATAAGTAGTGATTATTTTAAATAGTAAATACATGAAAAGAATAACAAAATGTAATATAGTTGACCAACAGGAATGACTTTCTGTTCCCTTTGTCTCATTAAGTTTTAACTCTGATGAAGTTTATTTCTGCCTTTTTGGGTCCATTTATATAATGGGACCTCTTCATCCTTTAGGAAATAATTGCCTAGGTAATGATGTTTCATTTATCATACTGCAAAAAACTGAAGAGAATTTAAAACGTATGTTTTGACTGATAAGCAGTATATTCAGAAAAAATGATTTACAACACAAGGATTTCCTTTTTTTTTGGAGGGGGGGGTCAGTTGTGGGGCTTGAATTCAGGGCCTGGGCACTGTCTCTGAGCCATTCTGCTCAAAGTTAGCGCTCTACCACTTGAACCACAGCTCTGGTGGTTAACTAGTGATAAAAAGAGTCTCACAGATTTTCCTGCCCGGATTGGCTTCAAACTGATCCTGAGATCTCAGTCTTCTAAGTAGTTTACAGGTGTAGGCTACCAGCACTCACCAGGACTTATTTCTTGAAATCAATTATTAGTAGTTTTATATTAAATGCTTTTCAATTCTGTACAAATCTTTAGGTAGATAATGACATACTATTAATTACAAAAATTAGTTGATGAGTTCTTAGTGTGCTATTGTTTGCCATACTTTGTGCTGCTGGGGAGATAAGTTGAAATTAAAGGTGAATAAAATCTTGAAGAATTCTGTATAATTTTAATAAGCATCTCATACAACCATATCCAAATATTTAGTCAAATGAAATCACGATTAACAGAACTGCTTTTGAAAAATATGTGCTTTTTATTTAAGTCATACTGAGTTATTGATATCTGTAAGGCACAAATATTGTGGTAGCTGCTGTGCATATTGTAATTTTAACATTTTCTCGCTTAAAATGATATGATAGAGCTATAAGGAAGAGTCAGATTTCTTTCCAACTTGATTCTGCAAAAGTACCCTTATTCTAAGAGTTTTTGTATTATGAGTAAACAGTCTTGATACTTAAGAAATAATGAAATTGAATATATTAGTTTTCTTATTCTGCTTGTCTTTTTCTTTGATTTTCTTACCAATCCAACGATAGTGCATGTTTTTTCCTGTATTCTGGTTAGCTTTGGTAATGTGAATTGCTTGTATGCTCTTCAGGAAACGAATGAAATGACAACATTGGTGACATTAAGGAGTAGGTCAAAATTTCTGTTGGTTGTCAAGTGTAATACTGTATTTCCCTCAGATGTTTCATGAATAAAGCACTCTTTTGAAAGATAGTGTATTCTAAGTGAAAGAGAAAAAAAAGGACTGAGGAATAAAAGGGAATGAGGACCACTTGGTGGGTAAGTTCCAGAGAGGATTCAACTTAAACTTAACAAATTTCAAGAGTTTTAGGATTTGGTCATTTCTTTCCTTTCCCAAAAAAATTTTCTGTGTACATTGAGTTGAGAATTAAAATTTTTCACTTCATAGAAGCTTCTTTAATCACTTCTTTATCCCATCAACATTTATTCTTAGTGCTCAATTTATACTACAGGTGTGCTTCAGTTTGTCAATATGCTCTGGAATTTAAGCTATGGAAATGATCAATTAAAATATTGAAGGTCTCTGGCGGGACTAAATAAAACTTGCAGGTAGGTCCCTGCCAAGGACCCAGGAGTGTAATGGAAGTTTATTCACCACTGGTATAGATCACAAGAAGGAAGTGACAAAGATATTGGGAGAAGGAATTATGCTCTATTAAATTGATTTTTGCTTTTGAGAAGACATTTGCTTCTTTTTTATCAGGGTGTCAAATATGAAGTTGATTCTTGAGCTTCACTGTTTAACAATGAAGGTGGCTTTTAATGTGCTGTGGCTAGAGCTTTTCAGAAGACTTAACATTCTGTGTCCTAATTGCTTTTTGTAACCAGTTCGATTCCTGTTGCTTTTAAATTTAGGCTTACTAATGAGGAGGGAGGTTTTAAAATGGGATTAAAAGAGTGAGAAAATCCTGTTAGAATTCTTTTGCTATATTGACCAGTTTACTGTTAACCATTATTTCATTATTCTTCAATGGAAATTGTTCTTTTAAGCACACAAGCGAAAATTTTTATTTTTAACTCTTTTCAACCAAAATAATTAGTTGCAAGCATTTCTAAAAATGATTTAGTCAAAATGATGTATAATTTATAACAAATGTGAAGATCTGTTTTATATAGTAAAGGTTACCAGAATATTTTCGGATTACTAAGTGACGGTACCGAGGTTGCTTCGTTTTCTGTATTAATATTTAATGGGGAGAAAGAGTATGTGCTCTTTTTGAAACTTTGCTTTAATTATGGTATATTTAATAGCTGGATTTGCCAGATTTACAGGTATGGAGAAGGTAACAGTTTTGAATTTTATGTTGTAAGCAAGGCAATGAAGATGTTTACATAAATATATATATATATATATATATATATATATATATATACACATATTATATACCTATATATACTTTTATAAAGCTGTGAGAACTTTTAAAACTTTTGATGTAAATTGTAATACTTTTAAAATGTATTTTGTTTTACTGAGAATATTTTGAAAATCATGTCAAATCCTTTGGACAAACATAAACTTGAAAATAAAAGCAAGATAACTGACTATCACCCTAGAAATGAATAAGTTGATAAAGGTAATATCAATGTAATACAGCTTTCTATTTGCTTTATATATGTAGAAAAATTTGAAGTGGTTTGGAGTTTTTATTTTTAAAATGTAAAGATGATAAAAGAACAAGTTAATATTTAGACTGAAAATTTCTATGTGTGAGAATTATTTTCAATTTCAGTAACTTCAGGTATATTGAAGAGAATCAAATTTCAGACTAAGGGTAAAATTTCTTGGTAGTCCTTATGTGATTTAATCGAAAATAAAATGTAGGCGCTTTGCTAAGTGATCATATTTGATATCGTCATAAATTATTCAGGTTGGTGTCTGAGAATATAGGGAATTTGTTTTAACTACTGTATTTATTTTCTTTTACAAAGGAAAAGTAATTGGGAAAAATGGCAAAGTCATTCAAGAAATAGTGGATAAATCTGGTGTGGTTCGGGTGAGAATTGAAGGAGATAATGAAAATAAACTACCTAGAGAAGATGTAAGTGTTTTTAGTGTAAGAACCCTTTTTGTTTTCCATGTTTCTTGGGTGACTTACTGTTATATTTTAGGATTCATTTCAAAAAGATGTCAGTTAATCTACTTTGATAAAGGTTATTCTTCCTTGCTTTAAGAAAATTCTGTTCCTTAAACTTTTTCAAAGGCTGGAATGTTTCAGGTTTCCAAATGACGCATGGTAAACGTTTTGAATATTGATTATTGGCATCTTGGCATGTTACAGCCAAGTAGAGACTCAGCATTACAACTTACTTGTTCTAAAGAGCCTTTGTGACTTGTAGGCTGAGATGACCTTTCCCACTTACATATTATTCATTGCTATTTTTTGTCGTTAAGATGCTGTACAGAGGGATTACAGTTACATGAGTAAGGCAATGAGTGCAATACTTGTCGATCATTGTTACCCTTCCCTTCCTTGTTGTTGTCCCACTATCCATTCCCTCCCCAACCTCCCCCTCTTCTTAACCACCTTCCACCCAAAGTTGTGAAGCTCCTTTCCAATATAATGTCCTGTGGGTATCCTTGTTGCAGTGGGTCATTCTGTGTCCTTGTTTCATCACTGCTATTTTTTTGTTGCTGTTGTTTGTTTTTTTGGGTCCGGTCGTGGGGCCTGAGCTCTGGGCCTGGGCGCTGTCCTTCAGCTCTTCAGCTCAAGGCTAGCGCTCTACCACTTAAGCCATAGCGCCACTTCTGGCTTTTTTCTTTTTGCTTATGTGGTGCTGAGGAATCGAACCCAGGGCCTCATGCATGCAAGGCAAGCGCTCTACCACTGAGCCACCTTCCCAGCCCCATCATCACTGCTATTTTTTTTCTTATGTTTTCAAAGATTTCTTTCAAACAGGTTATGAACTCCTTGTAATCAAAGTCATATGGACATTTTAAATTACCTGCTTATATAAACACAGATTACTGATACTAAAAATAAATGTGGCTGGGTGCTGGTGGCTCACGCCTGTAATCCTAGCTACCCAGGAGGCTGAGATCTTAGGATCACAGTTCAAAACCAGCTTGGGCAGGAAAGTCCATGAGACTCTTATTTCCAATAAATGGCCAGAAAACCAGATATGGTGCTGTGGTTCAAGTGGTAGAGCACTCGCCTTGAGCTAAAGAGCTGAGGGACAGCGCCCAGGCCCAGAGTTCAAGCCCCACAACCAACAAAAATGAACAAGTACATGTATATCCTGCCATGTCTTGTCTTCCCTTTCCATCATGCCAAATAGATTTTAGTGTTGTTTAGTTCCTTTTTTTTTTTTTTTTTGTGGGTGCTATCCCTGAACTTATGTTTTGTTCAAAGTTAGTGCTGAGCTTTTTTTGGAGGTAAAGAGTTTTTTTAGATTTTTCTGCCCCGGGCTGGCTTTGAATCACAGTCCTCAAATCTCAGCCTCCTGATGTGTGAGCCACCAGTGTCCATCTTAATTGTCTTCTTGTGTCTTTGTTTTGCACTAAATGTTGTCATTCTTTGCTAAGTTACCAGAGCATGGATGAGAAGCTCTCCACTTTAGAGTTTCCACACAAAATAGGTCCTTGAGATTGACTAAAGGATTTATTTTAGTAGAACAATTAAAGTAGGGCAAAATAGAAATGAGACATTTTCTGCCACCAATGTAGGAAAGGAGAACTAAAGACTCAAAATGGTGATTCTTATTTGTAACTCTTACATTTTGAGTTGAATGAATTAAGGTGGTTATCTCAGATTCCTTTTGCCAGATACATTTTTTCATTCTGTTTTTACCCATTCAAGAAGAGTTTCCAAAAGGCATATTGAAGTAGCTTCTCTTGTCTCCTACTCATATAATTTAACACTAAAGGAAAGGAGGGGGAGGTCCTGGAATGGTGGGAGGGGAGCTTGTATGTTTTTTCAGTTTATTTTCTGGTTTTATCTTTTGAATTTAGCTCTTATCATACTCTTTTAAAGTAATTTATATCTGCTCATTCATTCTTCCTCATTTCTTCACTAATCAACTTTGCTTCCTGATATATTGAAGAGAGTATAGAGGGTTGGCAGTCCATCTTCTATAGCTGTTTTGTGCTGAGAGTAGACTATTGGCTCTGTCTGGAAAAAAGGAAGTAGAAGGTGACATGGGAAATAAGTAAACTACGTTTCCTCTATGGTTAGGTAATAGGTCAGATTTTTCAATGGAATCAAGAAACAGTAAAGAAAACAAAATCTGTAGACTTAAGATTTATGTTGAATATACTTTCTGTTAGGTTTTTAAAAAGAGGTAGCCAAATAAGAACAGCACCACGCATGTGGTATTCAGGTAAGGGGTAGGTTTATTCAGTAGACCTGCTAGGACCAGGCCAGGTTGACACTCCACACAGCTGGCAAAGAGGTCTGGCCCTGGGTTAGGCTTTATCTAGGGTAGGGGCGGGGAAAGGTGTGGCCAAGTAAAGGGAGGTGGGAGGTGCGACCAGGTGGGAGAAAGGAATGGCCACATCAGATCCAGATGTGACCTCAGTGGATGCAGATGTGACCTCTTCCAGGTGTCCCAGTTGCCTAGGTAACACAGGTACTGGGCGGGATCTGCTCGCCATCCAGAAATGGACCTTACACTTTTCTACCTATAGAAATGGCATACTAGGTTAATAGCTATAGTAAAAATGGCAGCCTACATACACACACAACATTATATATATATACACACATATATATATATAATATATATATAAAATACACATATGTTCTGTTTTAGACGTTTAGGAGGTTAGGTTAGTTACTCTTTTTGTGGAGCTTGAACACAGTTCCTTGTGCTCTCATTTGACTATTTTACTCAAGGCTGGTGCTCTACCATTTTTTTCCACTTTTTGCCTTTTGCTGGTGAATCTCAAACTTTTCTGCTTGGGCTGGCTGGAACGTTGATCCTCAGGTCTCAGCCTCCAGAATACCTAGCTAGGATTATGGGCATGAACTACCAACTCCTGGCTAGTTGTTCTTTATGGATAATGTTAAAGTAAACATTGAGTATCTCCTGGAGGATTTGATATTTTTTTACTCCTTGGTGAATCTGGCTGTTTTTGTTGTAGCTAGAGCTTCCTCCAGGAAGTTTATAATCAGGTCCTGGGTTCCCTCACAAAGGGGCTTTGTTATCCCAAGTGCACAAATCCAAATCCTATGGAATCTAAGCTATTTAGGTAAGTTTTGTGCTGTTTCTTTAAGGTGGCCCTAGTACTAATTCTTTTTTTTAAGGGTCAAAGTAGTTCTGGAATTACAGTGTAGCCAAGAAGTTTTGTTTAGATCTTCCTTAGATCTTCTTTTAAGGACCTTAATTTCCTTGATGTTCCAGTAGGTTTAGGATCTGACACAATACACTGCTAGTTTTTTTATTACAATTTTATTCATTTCCTTGGTTATTTTTTAAAGCAGATTTAATGTTCCCTCCTCCTTGCAAAATGGAACCAAGGCTGTAATAGTTGAACACAGGTACATGTTATAGTACTTTTCTGTGAGTAATACTAAATGCCTTAAAGAAGGATCCAAACTGGTAAGAAAAAACAAAAAACAAACCCCTTTGAATATAAAAATTGCTGTGAATCTTTTGATCTTCGCGATTTATCAATATTGGTTACCTGTAGCCAGTGTCCTTTAGAAGGAGACCCAAGCAAGGGAGTTAAGGCAGAAAATTGAGCCCATTAAAATTATTAAATGGCCGGGCGCTGGTGGCTCACGCCTGTAATCCTAGCTACTCAGGAGGCTGAGATCTGAGGATCGCGGTTCAAAGCCAGCCCGGGCAAGAAAGACCATAAGACTCCTATCTCCAATAAACCACCAGAAAACCGGAAGTGGTGCTGTAGCTCAAGTGGTAGAGCGCTCGCCTTGAGCTGAAGAGCTGAGGGACAGCGCCCAGGCCCAGAGTTCAAGCCCCACGACCGACAAAAAAAAAAAAAAAATTATTAAATGAGTTATTAAAATTGGTTCTTTAAAAGCTATGTTGAAAAACCCAAGGTTCCTAAATAAGACACTAGAAGTTTGACTATTTGGGATCTTGAAAAGTGGAAGATCCCTTTAAGTTCTCAGGGACTACCATTTTGGAGGTGGATATCCCTCACCCACTGGAGAAAGGACCAGTTTTTTCTACATGTGTCCCTTAATGGCAAAGACAGTATTTCCCTGGATAGCATGGCTCCTTCTTAGGGTATTCTGCTTTCCAATGACTTGTTTTTCTGCATTCATAACCTTTCCCTTTTGGAATATGGAATCACCCTGCTTAAGAGTTTTTCCAGGTTCGTCTGACCTTTAACTCTTGTTTTCCATGAAATCTGGGTGTTGAGAACTTCAAAGGCCAGATTTGCCAGTTCTTTTAAGTGGAGTCTGGCAACCCTTTTTTTGTTTTTTTTTAAAAAATAGTTTATTGGTATCTGCAGCTGACTGGATAAAAGACATCCCCAGAAGTATTACTTCTTTTCTTGGATTCTGGGCTACTAGTTTGTTGTTGTTGCTGCTGCTTTTGTTTTTGTTTTAAGGCCCCTAGAAATAGGATAGGGTTCTTACCCTTACCTAAGTGACATACCTTTATCATGATTAGTAGCCTTGTGCATTGGTTGCTTTATTCTTTAAATTAAGTAACTCATCATAAAAGTTTACTTGATGTTCCCAAAGATGGCTGCAATTTGGTTCATCATTGAGAATGGCAATATTACTCAGCATTTTATCCCTACGGTACATATTTTCTCTCATATGTGGAAGCTATATCTAAAATAAACCAGAACAATTATACAGATGTCTAGACATTCACACATAGTGAGTGAGACCTTCTCTTAAGGACACAAGGGCACAATGCCTGTGTGTGTGTCTTAACACACAAAATACATTCCCTTATTGAAATGAACTCTAGGAAATGAAAATGAGGTTCTTTTTTTGGGGGGCGGGGGTCCGGTTGTGGGGCCTGAACTCTGGGCTTGGGTGCTATCCCTCAGCTCTTCAGCTCAAGGCTAGCAGTCTACCACTTGAGCCACAGCGCCACTTCCGGCTTTTTTCTTTTTGCTTATGTGGTGCTGAGGAATCGAACCCAGGGCCTCTTGCATGCAAGGCAAGCGCTCCACCACTGAGCCACCTTCCCAGCCCCAGAAAATGAGGTTCTTTTTCTTGGCTGTTGTTTCTGTTTTCCTTTTACCTTGTTTGTTCATATATATATATATATATATATATATATATATATATATATATACATACACATATATATGTATATATATATGCGCCTTTGGGAATGAGGGAAGTACAGAAATGGAGGAATAAAGGATAAATAAATGTACTAGTCGTACATAGCAGACACTACATTGAAAATGAACTATACAACTTATTGGTGGGGAAGAGGGGGAAAAACTTGGAGAAGAGGGGAAGGGATGACATTGTTTAAAAATATGTACTCTTTACCTGACTTACGAAACTGTAACCTCTGTACATTGCTTTTATAATAACAATAAAAAAATTTAAAAAATGACAATACGGATGCTAATTTTCAAACTTGGGGCAGTTGATTTATTTTGATTGTCTTTATATTGAATGCTTTGTTGTTGTTACTTCTAAGAACTTGTTCGATGATGGGATTTCCATATAGTAACCTGATTATGTAATTTAAAATGTGTATATAACAACTAATAAAAAGTATATATTTGAATATATGGATATATTAAATATGTAAAGTATAATTTCTCATGTTTTATTTATAATTTTAGTTGCATGGATTTTTTTTTCCTCCTCATCCTGGGGCTTGAACTAAGGGCCTGGGTGCTGTCCCTAAGCTTTCTTGCTTCAGGCTACCATTCTACCACTTGCCTCACAGCTTCATTTCCAGCTTTTTGATGTTATTGCTTAATTAGAGATAAGTGCCTCATGGACTTTCCTGCCCTGTTAGTTTGCTTTTAAACTTGACATATTATGGTGTTTCTTTTGTTTTTGTTTTCTTTTTAAGTACATTTGATTTTTTTTTTTTTTTTAAGAGAGAGACTCTGTGTATATAACCCAGGCTGGCCTCAATCTTGTGCTCTTTATGTCTCAGCCTAATAGGTGCTTGAGTTATAGATATGTGCCACCACGCTGGGCTTCCTAGTTACTTTTAAAGTGAATACTAAATAATATGTATGACGTTAAATAAGATATAGATGTAGGATATATAATTTTCAGAAGTGATATGAGATTAAAATTTTGGGGGATTCAGTTTACCACCTCTGTCTTTAATTCACTTTGGCCTTCTCTCAATCCTCCCAGCACACACTGGCATTGATTACTAAATACTTGCTAGGCAGTACTCTTGGGCCACACTTGTAGACTTTCAATACACTTAAGTATGCCCTCTTACCTGAAAGATATCTGTAACCTTAAATTAGATTCCCTTTATTTTGTACCTTTGTAGTTGAAATTACTGCTTCCTGATCACTGTGATTCTCACAGCTACATGATTCTTACGGTGTTAACATCATTCTTAGCATCTGTCTTGGAGCTTTTCTGTTTTTTTTTTTTTTTAATTAAATATCTAAAAGTCATTTATTAGAATGTTTAAAAAGTTACTTAAAAGATAAATTTCACTGAATTTATACTTTAAGACTGAACGATATTTATGTAACTATTAGGACTATGCTACAAATTGAAGAAATTTTTTTTTTTTACTAAGAGGCTGAAATGTGCTTTTTTTTGTTTTCTTGAGTTTTAAGACAGGGTCTCACTGACTTGTAGCTCATACTGACTTTGAACTTGAGATCCATTGGCTTCATCAGGTGGAATTACAGATCCAATGTTTGCCACCATGCGCTGTTACTGAAATGTGGTTCACGTGCTTATACTTGTATGCTAGGAGGCTAAGATCTTAGAATCGTGGTTCAAAGCCAGTGAAGTCCATGACACTCAACTCTAATCCCTTCCCTCCTTTCCCTCCCCCCCCCAAAAAAAAGTAGAACTGTGTACACCTCTTGTATAGAATGCTCAGTGTAGAGCACTAGCCTTGAACAAAAGAAGCTCAGGGACAGTAGCCTAGTTCTGAGTTCAAGCCCCAGGAGCACCACAGAATAAAAGGAAGAAAAATCCCTAGCCATCTTAATACCTCTTCCCTCCTACTTAAAATAATCCCTCCTGTTGTTAAATTTAAACAAACAAATAGTTTGGGTTAATCCTTTGGTTTAGTTTAATTATTGATGACTAAATATTTGCTGTGCCAGTAGTTCTCCTATTTTTGTATCATATAAGTATTTTTATTCTTTCAGTGATATATCTCTTAATGGTCAGGAGATAACCCTGAGTACACAGACCCTGTGTGGAAATTTAGATTCAAGTAGAAAGTAGAAAGTAGAAACTGGTATAAAATGAGGGTTTTTTTTTTTCATGTTAAAATTAAATTGTAGCACAAATATGGCAATATTTGACAATTTTAGATTATAGATTTCAGTTCTCTTGAAGTTTACTAGATATAAGTTGCTATGTGTATTAGAAAAGTTTTTCGAATTATGTATTGTGGTTAGATTTGTGCTGGAATATTAAGTATTGATTACTGAGGACATTGGGGTTTTTTGGTTTTGTTTTTCTTTTTTACAGGGCATGGTTCCATTTGTATTTGTTGGCACTAAAGAAAGTATTGGAAATGTGCAAGTTCTCTTAGAGTATCATATTGCCTACCTAAAGGTTTGTATATAATTTACATTATATTTTCCACTAATCATTGCCACATTACTACATAAATGTTGTATATTAGCACTGGCAATGTGGTTCAGTGGTGAAGTGTTTACCTTTCACAACTGCAAGACCCTGGGTTCAATCCACAGTACCAAAAATATTAAAAATAAGCAAGATGGTAGGGGTACTGGAGTGGCTTATTGGTAGACCTGCTTAAGCAAATATGAGGCTGGGAGTTCAGTCACCAGCACTACAAAAGAAAAAAGCTGCACATTTACAGCAAACATAAGATGCTCTCACATTAGACATTTTATTTTTGTCTACATTTCTATGAAATACTTTTGCCCAGTTTTTGTCACATGAGAACTTAATAGTAAAATGTCTTTTGCTATAATTAAATGACCTCATGCATTGTTTTTTCTCAGCATTTAAGTTTTCCTTATTGTTTAAGAAATGGTAATTTTCGTCTTTATAGGATTTGTTATCATTAAAATATGTTGTGTATTAGAGCCATTTTGTTTCTACTTTCATATTTTACATGCATATAGAGTACACAAATGAAGTTTGGTTACCTTGGTAAACTTTGGTATTATCTCAGTCATCTGTACTGCCTCCCATATCGGCATCATTGTATTATATGTGTCTGTACGCATGCACAGACGTGTTTCTAGAAGCAAGACTCAAAACTAGAGCCTGTACATGGGGAACATGCTACTATACCACTGAGGTACATTGCCAGTTCTCATTTGCTGATTTTTCTTTCTCTTGTACTGAGGCTTGACAACTCAGCCTTGTGCCCCTGCCTACCTATTTCCATTGAGGCTGATGCTCTACCACATGAGTCTACTTTAAAGCTTTTTGCTAAGTGGAGATCGGCATTTCCCAGAATTGTTTGTCTGGATTGGTTTTGAACTACAGTCCTCAGATCTTAGCCTTCCAAATAGCTAGGATTATAGGGATAGGGATAAGTCACCAAAGCCCAGCTTTCATTTACTAATTGTTAATACATAAACAAGTGTTTTAGGGAAAAAAGTCCTGTAAACTTGTAAACATTGTGATTGATACTTTATATAGTGTCTTTGTTTCTGCTTTGTTTCCTTGTTTAGAATGTCTTCAACTGTTTGCTACTTTTTACTTTTTGTAAAAGTAAAATAACATCTTTGCTCTTGTGATATTATGAAAGACCCCCCCAATATCATTTCTTGAAACTCAGTTTTCTATAACAAGTCTCAATTCAAGTGCAGTACTTTACTTTTCAATCAAGACCTTTGTCAAAATATCTTACCTTTACATCTTCCAGTGACTTGAGCTTTTTTTTTTTTTTTTACTCCTGATCCCAGGCTTTACGTGCTTTCTTTTCCTCACCCCCACTCATAGTTGGCACTGTATCACTTGAGACATACCTAAAGTCCAACTTTTTATTCTGCTGGTTATTTGGAGACAGTGTTGAATACTTCTCTGCCTGGGCTGGCTTCCAACTGCAATCCTTAGATCTTAGCCCTTTGAGTATAGCTAGATTAAAGGTGTCACCCATTGGCACTCTTCTAACCTTAGTTTTTAAATAATAAAGTATGTCTATGTTGCTCACAAGTTAGGGAACACTACTTTGATAGTAAAGCAGCTTTTATTAGTACTTTTCAAGATGATACTTGAACATCATTTAGCAGAGTTGTAACCCTTTGAGGAACAAAGTCTGCTATTGCTATGTAATTATTAGTTATTTTAATAAGTTACTTAACATTGTTTGAAACATTTTCTAAAGGCTAGAGTTGTGTTTCTTTTAAATTTTTTACTTATGTAAGTTGTTTGGCATATTTCTAAGATGTTCAGTAAATATAGTTGAATTAGATCAGCAAATGACCATGTGAACTATGTTAGGAACACAGTGTTGCTTTCCCAAGCAGTTTTAGAAGTCACAGATTCTTTCTTTGGTGGTTCATCCAGTTGTAGCTCTTAAGTTAAAAAAAAATCATTAAACAAAGAAGGCAAACCTTTTTGTTTTGATTGTAGGAAGTGGAACAGCTAAGAATGGAACGCTTGCAGATAGATGAACAACTTCGACAGATTGGTATGGGTTTCAGACCTTCTTCCACCAGAGGGCCTGAAAAAGAGAGAGGATATGCCACTGATGAAAGTACCGTCTCTTCTGTACAAGGTTCTAGGTCTTATAGTGGAAGAGGCAGAGGTCGTCGGGGCCCTAATTACACCTCCGGTTATGGTAAAAAATAAAATAAAATTATTTTTGTAGTAGTGTAGTTTATGAACTTCCATAGATTTCTTGTTTTATAAGTAATAAACTCATTGTTCTTAATTGGCTCTGGGGTACATGTCCTAATGGTGATGATATACTTTGTTAATGGCAATAAAAGGTACATAGCTTTTGAACAATTATGCATATTAAGTTAGTAGTATATAATCATGTTTGTTTTAAATATTTAGGAGGTTGAATGTTCACCATCTTGTTTTCCAAATAATTCTCTATAATACAGATTTTGAACATTTCCCCAATAAAACCTAGAACTGGTGGTGCTATTGGTTGAAATATACCGTTAGCAAAGTAAAAATGAAAATATGAAAGTCACTAGAACAGGATGATTATGTATAGCAAATCTTAAGTAACTGGAAGCAGGTTCAGATTATAGAGCACTTGCCTAGCAAGTAAATACAAGGTCCTGAGTACTAAATTCAGAACCATTTTACTACTGATTCTTTACTGGAAGACTTGACTATTATTATTAACATTGTACTTTTGGAATTTTTTTTTGAGATGACAGCATTTAATGAAGCCTTTATAAAAGCCAACCTAAATACATTTTTTGTTGTATGCTGGTCCTGAGGCTTGAACTCAGTGCTTGGGTGCTGTCTTTTGGCTTTTCTGCCAAAAGTTAGTGCTCTGCTACTTGAACACAGTTGTGCTTCTGGCTTTTGAGTGGTTTATTGGAATAAAAGTCTCACAGCTTCAAAATGTGATGCTCAGATCTCAGCCTTCTGAATAGATAAAATTACAGGTGTGAGCCACTAGCACCTTGCAGTAAACTTAATAAAAAGTGTTTCACTGTGAAGATGGGTCTTAACTTGAGTAGAATGGTAGAGTGGTGGTAGTAATAATCCTAAAGTTCACATTTGGAGTTGGATCTTTTCAGTGACCTGATTTTGGGGATGGGGCCATTTTCATAATCACTTTGTGTACTCTGGCTTCTGCTACTTCTGTGCATCCTGTTTTGGGAAAGTATTCATTAACCTATTCCAAAATAGATTTAAAGAAAATAGAAATAAATGCAAGATTTAGTATATAAATTCTTGATTTAAGTTTTGTGTTTGAAGAATCATCTAATGTTGCTAGATGTATGAAAATTCCACTACTTGTAGATGTAGAAGGTTGTATCTCCATGTTCACATTCTTTTGATGTATTTTATAGTAAATCCTATAAAGAATTGAGAGTTGAAGCTATTACTCTATTCCTGGAAGCCTATTAATACAAATAAACAAATTCAATATATTTTTATTTAATGTTTCAAAGCCTAAATGCCTAAATTGTTAGCTCAGATAGTCAAACATGGCTCTTTGAATGAAGGAATGGTTATTAGAGCACTTTTATTCGTTTTTGTGAGAAAAGGTCTCCTTGTTGATGAGTGGCAAAGTACTTTTGTGAAGAATAAGATAATTTGTGGAATAAAAACAGCAGCCTCATCTAGATTTTCCATAAAGTGTACAAATTGTTCAGTAGATGGCACTCTTACCTTTATAGAACTATTCTTGAAACAGGTTGAGTGGGCTTGAGAGGGAAAAACCATCTTAATTTATAGATATTCTTGAATACTTTATTTCAGAAGGATTTCTTTTTAGGTAGTAATAATAATAACCCCATATACACATGCATACTACTGTGCCCAAGTTTAAAGGTCAAGAAAGGATCTTCTTGTCTTTCTTCCCAGACTGGCCTTGAAATTCTGTTGTCAGCTTCCCAATGAGCTAAGATTACAGGCATGAGCCCGTTTTTTTTTTTTGTTGGTTTGTTTTGTTTTTCTTCGGCTGTACGTCTCAGGGCTTGAACTTAGGGCATTGAGGTGCTGTCCTGCCTGATTTGTGGTGTTTTGTTTTTTTTTTCCTAACACATTTGAACCACAGCTCTCCTGGTTTTTTGGTGATGGGTCTTGACAGACTTTCCTGCTTGGGACTTCAAACCTCAATCCATCTCAGCCTCCTGAGTAGCAAGGATTGAGTTTGAGCCACCGGCTCCTAGCCTGCCACTGCCTTTACATTGTACTTTAATGTAGGAACATCTTTTTTTGTCTTCATAGTCACATTTTAGCGAATTTAAATACAAGAAACTTCTAGGTATTTTGTGAACGGAGTTCTGTCTTTTACCATATACGATTTTGTACTAATTCTTTCAGAGAAACTTTAACAGAAAACATCATATAGATGCTTTTAATGAAATAAGGAGGGCTGGAGCCTGTTTTTAAATTGGTCTGATGCTAGGGATTTGACATAGACTAAAGGAAATATATTTGGATATACGATAAAGTGACATGCCAAAAGCCATGAACAACAGGAATATGAAAATGAACATTATAATGATTGTATCTGACTTTATTGTAATACAACAGTTACATTGTAGACTTCTGTGAAATCTTTGGAAGTGCTTAAATTTTTGAAAGGTCTCTTAAGATAAGTTGTAGGAGTTACAAATGGTCTGTAAGTTTTGAAGTCAGGTAGAATTTATTCTCTGGTCATGGCTTTACTTCTAGTAGTTGTCAGGTCTTCTTAAGACTAAAAATTATTGAATAATTTCCAATATCTTATTCTAATTCTGACAGTACTAAAATGTGCTGTTATTTTATGTACAATAATAAAGTAGTATGATAGACTTGATTAATTTGTTTTAAATTATTGGATAACAGTTGTATATATAATCCATAATCTAGATTAAAAACCTAAAAACAGACCAATTTTAATATTATCTCCCCATAGAAATGCAATTTGGTAGTAATTCTACTGATCTTGACTACTAGATATTTTACTACTACTACCATCTTAACACTTGGTTATTCTTTCAGTTATTAATTTCAAATTTAATTTCCATTTTGCTTTCCAAGATGCAGACAGCATGCTTACTTAATTTGTAAGGAAGTAGCACTGTGTCTCAAGTGCTAGAGGGCTAGCCTTGAGCTGAAGAGCTCAGGGACAGCGCATAGGCCCAGAGTTTAAGCCCCATGACTGACAAAAAATAGTAATAATTTGTAAAAAATATTTTTGAAAACTTTTAAGCACTTCTTTTTAAACACGGAGCTTCTAATTGGCTTATTTTTTGTTTTTCAAGGTACAAATTCTGAGCTGTCTAACCCCTCTGAAACAGAATCTGAACGCAAAGATGAGCTGAGTGATTGGTCATTGGCGGGAGAAGATGATCGAGAGAGCCGACATCAGCGTGACAGCAGAAGACGCCCAGGAGGACGAGGCAGAAGTGTTTCAGGGGGTCGAGGTCGAGGTGGACCACGTGGTGGCAAATCCTCCATCAGTTCTGGTAGCCTTTCATATAATATGTCTGCATTTGTTCCTTCTAACCAGTGTATCTGTACAAAAGTTAATTTATTACTTAAGGGGACCCAATTTGGAAAGTTTGTCTTTCCATGTTCTCTGGAGAAAATAGTGGCTTTATGAAGCAGTTAGTACAGGGAAAACAGACTTTTTTAGGCTAGAACTTTTGCATGGTGTATTTCTTTCAGTTTTGAGGGGTTTGTGTAATTAGAATTTTTTTTATTTTCCCTAGAACATTTGAGTTATGTATTTGTTTGCCAGACATATTCAGTATATTTTATGCACAGAGAAATCTTAAATTCTTTCATATATTAATTTGAAAAACTGAGCAGCATTTGTGATATGCTAGGTACTACTTGGAGAACAGAAAAAGGGTAGAATCAGCTCTTAAAGAAAATTTTACTGAGGAATTGAGCTGTAAAGAAGAGTACTCCAATGACTAAAGACTTGAGATTTACAAGCAACTTCTAGCACCATTTTAGAATTTTCACAATGCTTGACTGGTGTTATTAGAATGTTTTCGGAGCAGAATAGGATTTAGGGGAGATGGACTAGATTATTTCAAGGGTATAACTAACATATTTTTATGTCCCTTTAAGAAAACTGCACTTTCTTAATGACATACCTACCTTTTCAATAGCATATATTGTAAGTATTATATGAAATTAGTGTGTAGACACTAAATATATGGGATATATACATAAAACATGAATGGCAACAATTGAGCACAAAAATGAATTTTTGTAAGATTCTTTTTCTTTCATTTGCTTCCTTTCGGTCTTTAGTCTTGAGAACTTTTAGAAAAGTAGTTTTAATATTTGAATACATTGCACATTTTTATATTCTGTATTGTCAAATAAATGATTAGGTGAATGACAATTTTGTTACAGGCAGTAAATGAACCTAGTTCGAATTAGTATAAGTATTTTGTGTTAAATCTTACAACTTCCTTTTCTACCTTTACCCCAACTTCACACTTTGTTTCTAGAGTTGGAGAAAACAGAATTTATTTATTTATTTTTTAAATGTTTTTTATTGTGAAAATACCGTATTGAGGGGTTACAATTACATGAGCAAGGTATGAGTACATTTCTTACCAAGCATTGTTGCCTCCTCCTTTGTTTTTCCCCTTACCATTCCTTCCCTACCATCTCCATGATTACACCCACACCCCCCGCCAAAATTGTAAAGTTCGTTTTTTGACATAGCATCTCGACCCATTGCAACAATGAAATCAGTATTTATTTTAAGTGTTTTTTCTTTCGATTACCATTTAGAATTTGAATTATAACTTGCTGCTTTGTGTGGACTTATTTTGATCATTTCATTGATTTCTCCTGAGTGCAGGTGTTGAGTATTGTTTGGAAGTAATCCATTAATATACACAATAGTATCAGCCATCACTTTGAAATCCATAAAAGGCACTAAAAGCTTTCTTAGAGTTAATTCATTATAGCTGAATATTCTCTTTGTATTTTTCTAGCCTCTGTAGGATTGTCTTAGGATATGAATCTTAAAATTTTTATTAGTATTCTGTTTCTGCAATACAATCATCTCTCATTACCCATGGTAGATTGGTTTTAGGACCTCTCTCAGATTAAAAAAAATCCAAAGATACTTGAAGTCCTTTATATAAGATGATATAATATTTGCATATTATGTGTACATCTTGTTTATATTCAGGGATAGGGAATGTCTGGTGTGCAAAATCATTAGTTCTGTTCCTGCCAACGCAAACCACACTTGGGGTTTGAAATACAATCAATCTTAGGAGCTTTTTTTTTTTTTAATAGTAATTTATATAAACATCAGTACTGGCTAACATCACATGCCAAAATAGTCTTGGCAGCAAAAATTGTTTCCCAGTCTTGCTTTAAATCAACTCTAGTTTTTCTTAATACCCATTAAAGTATAAATGCTGTGTAAGTAGTTATACTATATTTAATGAATAGTGATCAAAAGAATGTACATAATTAGTACAATATCTTAATCAATTTTGCCATCTTATTGGTTGAACCCTGCAGATACAAAGAGAACTATGTTTTTAAAACAAAGGAAATGTTAGGAAGCTGTCTGCTCATCTTTTGCTTTATAATTTTTCATCACCATTTAAATTTTTATATTTATCCATCTTCATTATTTTCCAGGTAAAATAGTGATACAGAAACTTTTTTATTTGAAAACTATATTTTTATTGGGGAAAATTGATGTTTATCATTACTTGATGTGGTTCATTATAGAACAAAATATTCACAGCTACAGTTCTCTTAAACAAATATTTCTTGCCTCTGACATGAATATAGTGCTCAAAGATCCAGACAGCAATCCATACAGCTTACTTGATAATACAGAATCAGATCAGACTGCAGACACTGATGCCAGCGAATCTCATCACAGTACTAACCGTCGTAGGCGGTCTCGTAGACGAAGGACTGATGAAGATGCTGTTCTGATGGATGGAGTGACTGAATCTGATACAGCCTCAGTTAGTGAAAATGGGCTAGGTATGTAAGCACTTCGGGAACAGGGTGTGTTTGTGTATGTGTGTGTGTATGTATATGTATGTGTGTGTGTGTGTGTGTGTGTGTGTGTAAAATTACACTGTTAATGTATGAACTTTTTTCAAAAAATGTATGCGGCTCACGAAGTGTTAACTTCAGTGAAACTAGATAGCTTTTTGTCTGTCTAGTTTTCACATTTGTTAAATTATTTGAAACTGGGTTTATTACATTACTTTTGATGCCACTAAATATAGTGCAAGTATTCAACTCTATTGTCCCCAAACCAGAATTGAGCTATCACCTGTCTTTCTAAAAAGTATTTTAAATGACCTTAGTGGGAAGATATGTAAATCATAACTGAGCATTAATTTCCAATGGGTTAAAATGTCCTTTGTTGAAAAACTATATTGGAGAGAAACTATCTCTGAATGAATTTTTAAGTAGTAATTTAAGTCTGGGAGATAGTTTAACATAGCCAAAACCCTCTTAATTTCCAGATGAGAATTCCATTTTTAATCTATTTGGAATGCTTAAAAGCTACAAAAGTATCTATGCTGTGAGTACTGTATGTTTAATCTTTGATGTTTAAATCTTTCTCCTTACTCTTTAAATAAGGAAAGTTGTTTTATGTTACTGTTTTTTTTTTGTTTTGTTTTTTGTTTTTACCTTTTTTGTTTGTTTTTTTGTCAGAATAGTTCATGGTAAACTTTGCCCTTACAGATGATAGTGAAAAAAAACCCCAGCGACGCAATCGTAGCCGCAGGCGTCGTTTCAGGGGTCAGGCAGAAGATAGACAGCCAGGTAACTAGAGTGGACCTGTTGATACCAGGTCACAAGCATGAAAAAAATGTCATGTGTCTGCATTCTAAATATATTTACATGTTCACATGTGTGCATATATATTCAAAATTGGTGTGCATAAATTGTTTATTTAACTAATAAGACTACTAAAGAAAAATGCATTCTTTCCCCACAGTGTGAATGTTGAGTAACTGGTCTAAGTGGACTAATTTTACGTTTTTTTGTTTTTTTTTTTAACGTGGAAATATTGTTAAGACCATAATTTTATTCACTTGGGAGGTTCATCACACTTGAGATGGATCCTGCCATCCCAGGGACTATGTTGTAGAATGTGATTGAGGTTGATTGACCTAAGTAGGTAGCTTTTGCATGGTGCCTGCTTACTGGATTTAACACCTCATTTTTGTGGGGATTTTCATACTCACAGCTTATAAAACAAATAAAAAAAGGAAAAATACTTAAGTGTCCTTTTCCTAATAAGAGGATGCATGTTATGTTTTTTATTGTAGTGTGATCCCTTTTCCTTCACATCTACTAACTAATGAGATTAATAGTATTTATTTAGTTTCAGTTAGTTACTGGCTAACTTTATTTAGCCAGTAACTTTTAGTAACTGGAAAGAAAATTGTTTGTTGTATACATTTTGAACCTAATCTCATCTCCTGTGTATAGAGATTTACATGCATATTCACTATGGAGAAATTGTGTTCACTAGAAATAAACCCTTTTCAAACTAATCAATTTTTGCATTCTTTCCAAAGCAAATCTTTCCATGTATTTCCCTCAGTGTGTAAATTCTAGCATCTTTAGAACTGGGTTAAATACATTTGGGACAGCTGGTTAATGTATTCCCATTTCAGGAAGTTCATGTTTTAAAGATAGGTAGAAACTTCTTAAGAAAACAAAACTATCAGAAAAATAGAGTGTCCAGAAAGTATTTTCTTTTCCTGTTTCTAGTCTCTCCCCTCCTATGGTAGTGTTAGAAACACTGAGGAAAAACTATTTTGTATTTTGGATGTGGCACAGCACATCGGGCCTGTATAAATAGGTAAATTCAGGCTATTAATATGAGCTTAACACAGAATAATGGCATACAATACAACATAATTTAATTAATTTAATATACTAATAATTAAATGTATTAATATAAGACATAATCTAATTAGGTAAATGGTCAAGTCACAAGTCATAAAATGACCAAAATAGTAGGGTTTCTTATAGAAGAGGCAGATTCTTTAGTATTGATTGAAAAGACTGTTTTAGAGTTTTCAACAATTTGACAGTTATTGTGATGCATACTGCATCTGTTATTCTTTTACTCTATTCTTATATATTATTACATTTCCTTCGCTAAAATGTCTTACATTCCCTAGTGCTTCCCCTACAAAATGATAGGAACACAGTGAATAACGACTGTTTCTGACTTCAGGTCAAAAGGAGGCAGCCTCCACCTAATGTTAATAATCAAAATTCTCTTACAAATATAACTTCATTCTCATTTGCTTCAAATTTCTTGTTGTTCTTAGTACAAATTACTTATTGAGGGGACTTAAACTTTCTAAGTGCAGTGTTGTCATTTTTTCCTGGGCCCCAACGATATTCTAAAGTCTAAATTATCTTTCACAAATTGTCTGTTTTTCCTAGATGTTGTAAAGTATTGAGGCATGTATGACCATAAGCAAGTTTTTATTTAGATTAACTGAAATCTAATTGGCTTCCTTTAATTTAGAGATAATTCTAATTGATAAAATTATGTAAATACATATTGTTTGTATAATAGATTATAATAGATGATAGAATCTAAGAATTGCTTGGACACATACTAAAATTTAGCAGGATTTTCAAGTAGAAGAATTTTTCTCAGTATCAATGAGGTGTGAACTATGGAAACAGAAAACATATACTCCTGCTCCCCAAAGTAGTGAGAATCATTCTCAAAAAGGCTGTCAACATATAGGTAGATTTAATAATTAGGTAGATTATGATAATATATCCCCTTTCCAATACTGTTTACTATTAAATAATTAAAAATTACTTAGTATTGAAATTAAATGACAAAATTTTAAATTACTTTTTAAATATTTTAAAATATATTAAAATACTTTTAAAATATTTTAAAATGTACATGCCAACTTTCCTACAACTTGAAAAGAAAGTACCAGCTTTAAAAAGACTAAATATCTCTAGTAGTTTTTTTAATAACCATGTAAGTCCTGATAAATTTCCCTATGATTTTTAAGATTCATTTACATAAATAGTTCTTTAAAAGTTCTTGATTATGAATGTTAGCACATTTATAATTCAAAATGAATTGTAGCTGCTATCCAGTTTATTATGCAAATAGTTGGCTCCATATAAATTAAATTTACAGGATGAATTTTCCCAAGACTTAATGATTTGAACTTAAAATTTACTTGTTTTCTTTTATACAATTAACTTAATTTAAAATACATACTGAATTTTTAGTAGGGATCTTAAATAGTTTGAGTAGAATATAATAACAAGGAGGGGGGATATGGTTATTTTGCTATTTCCTCAGATTAGGGATTCTAAGCTTCAGATTTTGAGACTAATCAACAATACTTGTAGAACAGAATTTATTTATTGTATTTGTGTTAACAGTGGGAAGTTACTTGGGCTAGTCCTTTCCCTAATCTATTATCTTTACTTCTAAAAACACATTTAAACCTGTCCTTAAAGCTGCACTAGTGGATGGTCACTGAAGCCACTCTGGCCTTTTTTGCACTCTTACCATACCTACATCTTTAGGGTGGTACTATGTGCTTATTTTGAGTCACAAAATCAAATGGTTAAATCAGAATGGTTTCTATCATGTAACATTAAGGAGGAATCACAAGTTGTGCTGTTATTTTTCACTTAAAAATTATAAGCAAGTCTTTGAAATTTTCAAATTTAATTATCACATTGTGACTTGGATCACATTTGTTCCATTTTCCCCACTTATAATAATACATACTTGTTTGGACATAGAACCTGGCACCTACCATTTTTTGTTTGTGGGTGTTTTTTTTTTTGTTGTTGTTGTTTTTTAAAAATAATAGTCCCACAACCTTAGTCTTATCCTGGACTCTTGGAAAAGAGGACTTGAATTTAGATTTCCTTGTTTCTCCAGCTTGAATTTTTCTATTGCCAACACTAAAATCATAGGCAAAGTTTTTTCCAAGCTTTTTGGTTGGAGGCGATACCCAACTTAAATTTTGAATTTGGGTGACCTACCATTTGTTTAATAGTGAAATTACTCTTTATCCATAAATAAACTTTAGAAATATTTTTTCAACACCTGTAATTTTTTTCTCATCTTTAACAGTCACAGTTGCAGATTATATTTCTAGAGCTGAGTCTCAGAGCAGACAAAGAAACCTCCCAAGGGAAACTTTGGCTAAAAACAAGAAAGAAATGGTAAGGAGAATTTAACCTGTAGGGTTTTCTTTTTGTTTCCTTTTTATGTTTTTATTTTTCTGGTATAATTTAGATTTATTTTTTACTTCTTAATGTATGATCACTTGTTTTCCAAAATAGACAAGTATTATTTAGTTAAGAAGATTTTGTTCCTGGACACAGATGTCTGAAGATATGCATGCTTAAGACTGAAAATCCTTTTTGGATAGAACTTTAGCATTTGTAAAATTCAGTCTTAACTATACTGGGTATAGATAGCTTAATTTTGTAAGCTGAAGGCTCTATACATTTTCTCAATAGTGGATCTTTTAAATTTCAATTTTTTAAATGCTTTTAGGATTTTATATATGAGTTCAGGGGGGAAAAGGTGAGTAAAGTAGGTAATTGTTTTATTTAGATACTTTATTGTTTCAGTTACATGGAGTTTTCTGTTGGTTCTAGTGGTTTCATTAAATATTATAGATGCTATGGTTTAGGCATTCCTAGAGATAGAGTTGAGAGATCCCCCCAAAATGGAGTACTTTGGTAATTATTTAAAAATTTAAAAATGTGTTAATTTTTTAAACTCTAGTGGCATATGAAATTGAAATTTTCTAAGTTAATGTTTATGTAGCTGTTTTCCTCCTCAGCTGTAGATTGCATTTATAAAGAAGTTGAAAAAGCTGTCTCCCTTTGGCAGGCAAAAGATGTGATTGAAGAGCATGGTCCTTCAGAAAAGGCAATAAATGGCCCAACTAGTGCTTCTGGCGATGAAATTCCTAAACTACAACGTACTCCAGGAGAAGAAAAGATTAATACCTTAAAAGAGGAAAATACCCAAGAAGCAGCAGTCCTGAATGGTGTTTCATAAACTGAAGAAGTTCCTAGTTTACAGTTCTCTTACATTACATTTACAATAGTGCTTGTACAAGCTTGCCAAAGATAGAATATGGATCGCCAGTCTTTACATCGTACTTTCAGTTCCTCCATTTGGAATTCAGAAAGGGGAGGGATCCTGAAGAAATCATATGTTAAACATACTTTGACACCTACTGTGTTAAAACTATATCATCAGATGTGCCTTGAGAATAGTATATGTAACATTAAAAAAAGTTGCTGGCTATAGGAAATGTTATTTTGTTTTCAAAATATGGCAGAGATGGGGGGAGGTGGGTGGGGGTGGGATCCCTAACACAATATTCTTTATGAAAGCATTAGCTGCTTTTGTTACATTTTTAATAATATGCAACCACTTCTTCACCTGAGGAAAACTAGAATGAAATGCAGTCTGAAATATTTTGCACTGAATTGTAATTTCTTCATTAGTTTAGTCTGGAAACTGGTCTGTTTTACAATGTGTTTTTTAAATGCTGTATGAAGAGGAAAAACTGCAGACCACTGGAATACATTTGTTAACTCATCTGCAGGGACACTGGGTGATATTGGCAGTGACTGTTCTACATTGAGGCTTTGTTTGGTTTATTTATTAAAGTGTACAGTATTTAAAATCAAACATAGCTTTAGTTAAAACACTAAGCTCTGATTAGTCATGTCCATTCAGACTTAACCTAAACTACTGAAAAAAGATCGTTTTCCAGAAAGTTTATTCTGTATAAACTACATGTTAGTCTTCAGTAGAATATCTTTCACTTTTTCTTTTCCTTTTTTAAATTTTTTTTAATTTTGGTTGTTTGATGTGCAATATGTTTTTGTATGCAGGTAGTAAATAAACTTTGATCTTCCATTTGCTGATTTTTAACTTTCTACTTTTTATGCCAATTATTACAAAATAGTTGGACCTACTTAGAGGCACAGAATAGTTTCATTGATTGCTTTTAAAAAGCATCTATTCTTATACCTCAAATTAAAATGTTTAGTGGACCATTTAATCATTTTGTAATGAATGCTCTGCAATATTTAATACGTTAGGTTTTTAGAATAGGGGGTAGGGAATTTATAATACATTTACTAGAAAAATTTGTATCAAATTCTAATCACTAGCAAATTGTAGATGAAGTAGAAGCTTTGCCTTAATTTCCTTTATCAAAATTATTTTTAAAGTACAATAAGCAATTTTTAATTTATCAATAAGGTACTTTATGATTTCACAAGGAAATGTGAAGGTCTCCTATCAGTGATTGAAATGGATAATTAAGATATTTTAAAGTATGAGGTCAAATAAATGTGGAACTCCAGTATTTTATGGACCACTGAAAAGAAAGGATATAGCTCTTTAGTATCTGAGAACGTTATGCACATTAGTAAATTGTTTATAGTAACCATTTATAACAAAAAGGATAATGTAGTATGTAGTTACAAATGTAAAAGATTATATATG